TGTCACTTGTGAATACTTCATTCTTCAACATACTGGCTGGTTCCAAGTGTCGTCGATTCCTACGAATTGATCCGTTGGCTGTTTCAATTATATAAGAACGGTCACTCTGTTGTGCCATGGCTACAACTGTCCCAGTCGTTCCTCCTCCTACTCTTTTCATCCATACCGTTTTTCCAGCATTCAACTAAGATAACGATGTTGCTCTCTTTGCTTTGTTGAAGTTAAGTTTTTGATTTTGACGATATTGTTCTTCCACTCGACCTGCTTTTTCCAAGTCAGGCCATTTAGGGTAGTAATTTCTTGGATTTTCCGGCAAGATTGTCCGAAGTTTTCTCCGTATCAGAAGTTCAGCTGGGCTGCTTCTATCCTTTAATGGTATTGCTCTATATGCCAGTAATGTAAGAGTCAGTTGCATTTCTTATAAACGTTTTACTGTTTGTAAGGCGCGTCCAACTTCACCATGTCCTTGTGGATAGTGAGGGCTACTGGCTTGATGTCGAAATCCATAATTCCCGGAGAAAGTCTGAAAGACTGAGCTAGAATACTGTGGTCCTCCAGTGTGGTAAAACGGGCCTTGGTTAACATTTTTTTTAAAATTGAGTGCAAGTCGTCGACTATTGATAATATCATTTGATTGTATTAAACATTTAATATTTTCCGACTGTTCTAAAATTGGGTATAAAATTGGATATATCTGTTTCGTGGGTTATGGGTCACAATAAAGGCTATTTTCCATGCAGTCATCGGTGGTGTCATCTACACGGCGTGGATTTCTCAGGTTCTCTATTAGAATTTTGGACGCCTTTTCTATTCCGGCGTTGATTAAATCAATTAGATACTTTGGTCGTCGTAGATATATTTTTAATTCCTCCAAAAGTCTAGAACGAAGGTTTCTATCTGTAATAATTGTACAAATTCTTCGTGCTAAATTTAATGGGATATTACGTTTTATGTGGGATGGGTGGTACGATCTAAAATCCAAATACAGATTCGTGTTCGTCAGTTTACAGTATAAGTCTTTAGTTATACAGGATCTATTCTTTATAACTAGAAGATCTAAAAATGGAAGTTCCATATGACTTTTTTTTAGGGATGGCAATTTGTAATCGGTTAACCGGTTACTCGGTCGGAACGATGGTAATCGGTTAGAAAATCTGTAATCGGTTAGTCGGAAAAAAATTAATACATGTATATGACAGTTGTGTAAATTTGAATACAATTTCCTGAAAATTCAATTTAAAAAATAAAAAAAAACAAATAAAATTTTCTGAAATGTTAGCATTTTCACCTATCTATTTAAGCTGATTCGGAGATAATAAAGGTTCTCCAGATTGACATCGCGTGGGGAGAATTGGTCACTTTTCGAGTCGTTAATTGCTGTTTAAACACATGTCGTGTGTTTCTTTAATGATTTTAATTAAATGATCGTTGAATTATGTGAACTGATTATAATCTGTACCTTACCTCTTCTATCCTTTGCAGTTACCTATCAAATTATATTCTAAAACAAACTTCGTAAGATAAGCGATAACTCAGACTTTAATTTTGATTATGGTGACAATGCAATGACAATCCGTGACATCTTTTCTCAAATTTTTTTTAATGCATCTGCAACCTCCGGATGTTTCATGGGTTTCTTCATTTTTTCTTTTTTTCCCCATTTTTTTCTTTTGCCCATTAAAATTAAAATACAATATATGTAGTATTCTGGTCATATATAGATATAAGCATAATATTACTACATGAACATCTCTATAGTCTTACTTATTTGAGTGTAGCTATGTCGAGAATTTTTGATACGATTAACCGACTAATCGGTCGGAACGTCTTGCCGTTAACCGATTGGCAATTCTGTATTCGATTGCCATCCCTACTTTTTTTCTATTGTAAATTGTATAGAACCATGGAGGTTATGAAGAAGTGAATGGGATTTATTTAAGTCTTCTTCACTCTTGGTCCAAAATATGAAGAAGTCGTCTAGTAACGTTTCCAATTATTTCTAATATAGTTACCAAAGTCGTCATCAAAGGGTTCCGGTATTTTCCCATGTAATTGATCTTCTAAGTATCCCAACACTAAGGTTGCATATGAAGGAGTTTTTGTCCCCATAGCTGTTCCTTTTATTTGTAGATAAAACTCATTGTTGAAGTGGAAAGTGTTATTTTCTGGAACTAACATAAGTCCTTCTAAAATGAATTCCTTTGAGAATCGTTCATTTATAATATTCGGATGTTTGTCTATTCAGTAACTTACTGCTTCCAGTCCTAAAGCATGTGGGGTATTTGTGTAAATACTTGTAACATCAAAACTGACAGGTATGGCGCTTGGGTCTACATTTTGAGGAATATAATTAAGGAAATCCATATTATCTCTTACGAAGCTAGGTAATAGTTTACATAGAGGTTTCAATAATATATCCAATAAATTACTCAGTCTTTGAGTGCTTGATGCAGGTTCACCGATGATTGGACGTATATTAAGGTCAGCTGGTCAAGTTATTTTAAAATATGCGTTATCACCATTTTTCATTGCTTCTTGGATTTCCTTAGATTTGTAGACTTTTGGTAATCCGTAGAAATTATTTTAGATTTCAACGCAAAATGTGTAAAGAAATCAATTTCATTTTTTGTTAAGTTGTCGGCATACTTTTATGTTAATTTCTCAACTTTGAGTATTGTGTGACGATCCTCGTTAGTGGTTAATTTTCTATAAAACCGACAGTTTTGAAGCTCGTTTAACACCATTTCCTTGTAATGGAGTTTGTCCATAATAACAAGAGTGCCTCCTTTCTCAGCTTTTTTTTTAAAATTATAGTCGAATCATATCGTAAATTCTTTATAGCATTTGTTGGGATTTAGATATATTATTTTTTTGTCCTTGTTTCTACTTTGTTAGAGTGAGCGGAGGAGGACTTAAGGCATGTTATAAATTCTTCTAAATGTTTGTCTCTGTTGATTTGTGGTCGAAATCCTTTTTTTTAGCAAGTGATTCATCTTCATAAGAAGAATTTTGAAAATATTCTCTTAAACGTAATTTGCGACAAAACTCGTCCGTATCAGCAATTAATTCCACTTTGTTCCCATTGTTAATATCTCTTTTTCAGTGTCATTTAAATCTCTTTGAGAGATTAATGATTTTGGACCCTGTTGATTTATTTTCTGTTTTTTGAAACGAAAAGTCAGTTTTTGCCGTGTCCTTTGAGGTTAGTGTGGTCCTAAAAATATTTTCTGTTAATCGAATTTTGAGCTGTGTTTCGTCTTCCTCTAATCTCATGATCCTATGATGGCTGATTTTGAGGGCCGCCATTTTGTCGTTTTCCGCCAATAAGATTGATTCTCATATTGTTGAGTCTTCCTCTGATCGGGGCATAATTGGTTTGATTTTTTTAGGCAAATCCTCGTGGGTTGTTTGATATTCTGTGTTCAACATTTGGAGGAAACGGAGGAAACTGATTACTATTTTTTTACGGCATCTGCATATGATGTCTGATGTTGAGGTGTCTTTGATCTAGATCTTGAGTTGGTAAATCTGTTGTATGTTCTGGCCTCGGGGCCATAAAACTTAGACAAGCTCACTTTTGATCTCAGTCTCACTTTTCCACTATTAATTCCTTTGGTAAAAGTGAGACTGAGATCAAAAGTAAGCTCATCCAAGTTTTATGGCCCCGGAGCCTGTTGTACAGTGTACATGTATGTTTTTTCGGGAGCTTGTCTCCTCTGGGTTTTCTACTGAAATTTTTATGTTTGATCTGTTTTTCGGTTTTGAATTATTGGGGGTTTTGGTTATTTCGTTGCCGTAGTTTTCTTTGTATTGATCTAGCCACATTTTTTTTTTTAATTCCAAGAATTTTTGTGATTTCCTCTTCTCTTAACACATCCTTCAGCCATAATTCTAGAAGTTTTTTCCTCCATTTTGCCATTACTGCATTTTCGTATTTCTTCGGTCATGTTTTTATCACAATTTTCGAGCTGATTTTTGAATTAAGAAACTCTCAGTCGAAGGAATGGAATTTCCGTCTCAAATCGTTGCAGTGCGAAATTAATTCTAATTTGTGTTTCTTCACTGGATTCCGAGTCGATATTTTTGATCCTAAATTAACCTGGGAAACATAATTTCTTCTTCATTTTTCCAGTTTTCGTAGGTGTCTGCAAGTTTTTATTCTTGATAGCATTCCAATACGCCTGTTTCCGTTGGTTAAACCATATCCTTTTCAATTGTTTCCTTTTCTTGTAAGCTTCCTTTTCAAGATTTATCTTATTCCATTGTTGAATTATATCTTGTGCATTAGTCGCATAATTATCTCTCTCTCTCTCTCTCTCTCTCTATATATATATATATATATAACGATCGTCTATGATATTTTGATATTTTCACGAGTTCGAAGCACTATAAAAATCCTGTCTCACGAGTGAAATAAATTCTATATTCATCTTCAAAACATTATTTTCTGTTTTCTTTGATTTTCCATTTGACTCTGTCTTTTCGTTATGCGGTGTCATAGACTTTGATGTAAGAGTTAAGCGGTTGAGACGTCATAGCTAAGCGATTGCGAGATTGAAAAACTTTGTACATAAAGATTGATTTTTAACATCATATTTGGAGAAACTTTGGCACTTTTAGTCTCTGTCAGGATGGTTCATTTACTCTCCCTATCTTATAACAGGCCAGGGATTTAAAAAAACAAACTCATCGTGATGGAAAGGAAAATTTCGCGTTTTGCCGCATTTCTAATATTCTCACACTGTGAGAATGCCATTTTGATATCCTTCCACACTAAGTCAGAATATCACTTTTATTCAATAAATAAATTACAGTATTTCACTGTTAAAAATGTAATAAATATGTATATATACTGCTTAAACATCAATGGATGACCTATTGATTTTTCATACGGCCGCCTCCATAAATAGCTGGAGCTGAGGAATCCTTACTATTTTTCAGCCATAATCTGAACTGTAACTTTACTACAAATCATTGAAACCTAAAAATCGTTAGAGAATATGATTCACTTCGACATTTTTGGAAATCTATCAGATTTACTTAAGGAAAATAATACATCTCCATACATTTCTGTACCCCATTACATGGTTATGCCGTTTGGGATGGTTATTGTGATGGAGAACGTCATTTCCATTTGCTTGCTGTACGCCTGTACACGCTTATGCTTTCAAATCCGGATAATGTCTCTCAATTTGGCAATATCTGATTTTCTGATGGGTATTTCCATATGCATTCCAAATACCCTTCTTAACGAGAAGTATCACTGTGATATCAAGAAGTATCCGGGTTTCCTCTTCATCACGGTATCTCTGTTTATCATCACCACTATGAATGTGGATCGTTGCTGTGTTTTTGCTTTAGCAATGCGATATTACTCTTTCATAACGAAGAAACTGATCATAAACATTTCTGTTGCTTTATGGGTAATGGGTCTGTTGGTAACTTTTGGCACATTTTTCGATTTGAAAGACAAATACGGACTTTCTTGCATTGTGATGACCGATGTGAAGAGAAATGCAGTGACATTGACTTGCAGGAGTATACTGTTAATTATCTTGACTTTTAACCTCATCATGTTTATCTATTTTATGTATCAAGTTCGGAAAAGATTGGGTCGAATTTCTGACACCAGTGACCGCGCCCAGTCTACTACATTTGCGCGAGAGCAAGCAAGGATTTCCGGAAAAACATCCTTAATCATTGGTGTGTTCCTGATAGCATTCTTTCCTTTCATGATTACGTGTTCTTTTCCATTCGATCCTGATTCAGAAACATTCAGAAAAACCTTTTCCATTGTAGTGATGATCATGCTTTTCAACAGTGCCTGTAATCCCATTTTTTATGTCTGGAGATTCAGTGAACCGCGGTACCATTTGAAACGAATCTTGTGCTTTTGGAACAAAAAACAAAGGTTAGAAATAGAGAACAAGTATAATCAGGAAAACGCCTCTTACACCATAGATCTAAAGAAATAGAAATACAGCTAGATGCGCTTCCATTGCGAGCAAAGAGACTCTACCGTCCGATTTCTGGCGAGATTATAGGTAGGATTATTACTCGGATCACTCATCTGAGGAGGAAACGACTAAAGATGACTGAAATATTCACTCAAATCCTCCAAATTTATGTAAAAACAGATAAGAAATGAGATCTTATTAATGTTAAAGCTAGTTTCAGTTCTTATTTAATTCACTTTTTATATGACTTTGCTCGAAACGAATGAATATTGTACACGTAGGAGTCATCCAAAAAAAAATCTATAAAGAATAATATGTTTTATTAATGATTATTACAGATTTGAATGAACTTTACTTCCATTTGGAAATAGTTTGACTTCAAATACTGTTTTAGACTCTATCATGAATATCTTTTATTGTACTTTCTCCGTCACAAGAGAATTTCCTTCTGCTTTTCTCATATAGTATGTATTATCTTAGGGAGTTCCTGTTCTTCTACCCCTCCCACATACATAAATTATAATAAAATATTTTGTAGTGTGAAATGGATTAGATATAAACGTTTACTTAACGTTTTTTTTGTCTTTTATTTTTCACGACCTCTTTGATTTTGGCGCTTTGCTGGCGAGAAGTTCATTGCACTGGGGAAAAAAAAATCAAAACATAATGTGCATACCTAAAATGATTGCTTTAGATCTATCAGCCTGCAAGAATTTAACTGTTTTAACTATTTAAGTCTACAACATATCTTATAAACTAAAATGAATTTCTGAATAGATATAAACAGTCTTCAGAATCATAATGACCAGTGTTTTTTTTTTTTTTGTTTTGTTTTGGGTTTTTTTTTTGGATGTCAAGAAAAAGGGGTTTCTTTGTTACTAAAGCAAAAATGTTCGTTAGTTTTAAGGATTTACTACTACAAAAAATATTTGATCATATGTTATATCTCTTAACTCTTAAACGTACAAGTTTTCTACTAAAGTGGTCAGCACAGAAGATACACGTTAAAACAACTGAATATGTCTGCAAGCTTAAGGAACACATATCTTGATAAACTCGATGAACTTGTTATACGTTAAGGTTTGCCAGAGAAAGATCTATAATACCTGATATTGAACCCCAATTCAAATGTCTTTATTTTCATATTGAGGCAAACAACTTAAAAATATTTAACGTTGTATTTCTACAAGATCACAAATTAAAAGAGAGTATGCGTTAATTAACAGTGGACCTCAATCATTCTTGCTTTTTGGCTTTAATGATATTAATTGGCATTTGTGAAATCATATGGTAAGTGATAATGTGAGGGGGCATGTGTAAAATATCAACTCCTCTTCTTGAAAGGTGTTAATTATCCACATGGTGTCTTGAAATAAGAGTAAAATCCAATCAGTACAACAATTTACCTTGTTTTATTGTCAATTTACATCTTCATTCAGCAGACATGCTTGTTTTGTATCTTAAGCTTGATAACATATTTTAAAATGCATAATGTTTTCAAAGAAATCAATATCCTAAAACTTTTTATAATCTTAAGACCTCAAAGAAGCAAATTCAGTTTAGGAGACACAACCAAACATTTTCAGTTTTGGGAGGGTTGCACTTAAAGTACCAAGCGAAAATTTCTTGACACCCCGAAGAAAAAGGAATCAGACAGAATTATTGAGGGGGTGCGTTCATAAAAAACAACTTTCTTTTCTGTAGTTTACTATATATCGGCAAGGCTGTAACCAGCATCCCCCAATTCCAGTTTCCAACGGCCATGATGTTAAATATCAGTTAGTCCAAAGGACCATTGCAAATTTGTAAGCGGAATGGTTCAAGGCAGAAAATCGGATGTCAATCGATCCAAGGAAAGAGCAAGGAACATATGAATTTGATTCCTCTTTGTCTTCATGTTTTTCTAAAAGTTCTTGATTGAAGTTTAACGTGATGGTCCCCCAAATGAAAATTAGATTACATTTATAATTCGTGCCACAGATTCTCTTGAAACAATTTATATAATACATTCAATTCAGCTTAGATAAAGTATTTGTCCAAATTCAATAGGGATATTTTGTTAAATTGTTAATATCTATAAACATTACTCATTTCCTACATCGTTAACGTTCAATTCTGTTTCTTTAATACAGTAAAGTATTGTTTTCTTATTTGTATTGTTTTCATTTCAATTTTACCTGCAGCTATTCATTAAGTTGAATCTTATTAGACAGCTACAGGTAACTTACTGAATGCAAATCTTTTTTCGCACATATCCAGGAACCCTTACAAAAAATTACTATTGTAAACTATAGTTTACTATAGTTAACTATAGTAAATCAAAGTTCCAAAGTTTTCACTATAGTAAATCAAAGTTCCAAAGTTATAACTATAGTTAATCAAAGTTCCAAAGTTTTCACTTTAGTAAATCAAAGTTCCAAAGTTTTCGCTATAGTTAATCAAAGTTACAAAGTTTTTACTACAGTAAATCAAAGTTCCAATTTTTCACTATAGTAAATCAAAGTTCCAACGTTTTTACTATTGTAAATCAACGTTCCAAAGTTTTTACTTTAGTTAATCAAGTTTCTAGGTTTTCACAATAGTTTATCAACTTATTAAAGTATTTTAATATTTTTTTGCTTATTTTGCCGTTTTTTTGTTAGGGGTTGCTTAGGGGCCAGGTGTTGTTGTGCATGTTAATTTAAATTTACAAATTAGTTAAATCAAATGCAATATTTACATTTATAAATTAAAAAATACATGTTTACTAAAGTTGATGGAGAAGGTATTTTGGTTATAATGACGCAAATTCTATTTTATAGTATATTATTTTCCTTTCTCCATCAAAATAACTTACACTACATCTGCATTAAATTAAATTCATTTGAATAAATGTTGCTCGTCTATCGGCACGAGAGACAACCTTACATTAAAATTCATTTCTTGTACATTTTTTTAAAGGAGGAGCCGGTTTCATAAGAAAAAATCTCTGAAGCTTTTATGAATTTTAACCATGAAATATGATAAAATGTCAAGAATTGGAATCAGGAACATAATTCCACGGGTTTTACTATAGTAAATCAAAGTTTCAAAGTTTTTACTATAGTTATTCTAAGTTCCAAAGTTTTCACTACAGTAAATCAAAGTTCCAAAGTTTTTACTAAAGTCAATCAAAGTTTCAAAGTTTTATACTTAATTGAATAACGCATGCTACGACTAATTGAATATCACAAGTTAGGACATGGAAATTGTTAACACTGAATGTTGGAATTTTAAAAGCTGCTTTATGTGCATGTAGTGTTGGAAGTAAGTTTTATATATACCTAGCGTGTACTAATTCTACATTAACTTTACTTATATGGTTTTATGTATCAGGTGTATCAAATAACGTTTTAATGGCATTGTTTTTCCCGATATATACTCACTCGCATATAAACATGGAAAAAGATAGGTGAAGCAAAACTTTTTTCCCCCAAAAGATGAAGGTTGTTATTCTTGGAATTTTATCATGTGTTGCGAGTATTGCTACAGCTAATCTAAATTCAAAAGAATTTTTGAACAATGTGAAGAAAATCAAGGCAACCTGTCATGAAATTGGCTGGGAACCAAAGTGTATGAAGGGCGGTTTGGAAGGTATAGGAAGATTTTTTTTTTTAATTATCATTATAAGTATATCAGACACATGGAATCATCCATCAAATTGTTAACAATGGAAATCATACAAGAAAATGTGTATGTCATCGCCTACTTTCCTCGAAATTATAACGAAAATATTGTACAGTTAGCTATACTTAACAGTTACTGGTAACGATGGTTTAATATTAAACTATATGATATAATACTTTGATACATTACTTTAATACACTATGATACTTCGAAACTGTTCCGTAAAGCTATGATTTACTACAAACTTTAGTCTAAAACTTTTTTTTAGGGTTTAGATACTTACAACTTGAAAAATTTTCTACAAATGATGTGATTTTTACATTTAGACATTACACCTGAATATAAGAAATAATTAGTTTTATATGAAAATCGCATATAAAATGGGTAGAAAATGAAATATTATACAGTTATTGACTGGGTATGAGGGCAACATATGATTTGTTGGACCCGAAGGTGAAAATGTTGCCCGAGGCCGCAGTCAACATTTTCACCTTCAGGTCCAACAAATCACATTTTGCCCAAATCCCAGTCTATAACTGTTTTGCTATACCCTTCACATAAGATACAATGTAAATACGAGGGACATTTGAAAAGTTCTGAGAACTTTTCGATAAAATTTTAACCGTTTAAAGGAAATTACTGAGTTTGATATCATTGGACAGATCACAAAAGATACACATATTGTGACGTCACTTTGTAATTTTTATTACGTAATAACTCCCAAAATGACGTCAGAATCTCGAATGTCTAGCATACTGACCATAAAAAATGACATAAAAAGAGACACAATTTCAGCGAAGTAAAATTTTAAAGTAAGCTTTTTCTCATTACTCGGATGCACGCTAACGGACACACCTACCTGTTGGACGAATGTTTACATAGTGGGCAAAAAAGACGCTGCTGTGAGTAATTCACAAAGTTCACAATTACAGGAAAAAAGTGGAAGGTGTTACAGAATTTGCTGGCATACATGGTCCAGGCGGTCCAGTGATATGCTCTGTAGCATACTGTAAACAGCAGCCCAAAGATGTTCTAGTTTTTAATATTTCTTACCATGCAGGTTATTTTTATAGCAAAAATAGTCCGTATGTTGCAAATTGTAAAATCTCGCTCAAAGGATTGGTAGATTAGAATTTCTATATCAAGCATGAGCAAGGTATTCATCACAACCCAGCTCCTCTGTCAAGTATGGGAGCTTTGCCTTTAACATATCTGATCTATTAAATGAGAACTTCGCTAATTAAGAGCTATTTATTGTTAAGATATGTAACTATTTCTCTAACGGTGACTCTACGATCTTTTGCTATCAATTGTTCAACTAAAGACATGTCTCTTTTTCAGCTCACGTTCACTGGGTAGCCAGAATGAGCATC